ATGGTGACTCTTCGAGGTAGGTCAGTTAGTGGTTCTGGTGCTGGTGAGGGTTCGGGCTCAAGTTCTGGAGCTGGGAAGTTGGATGATCTGACGCAGGAGTTCATTTCGTCTGAGATTACCCGCAACATACTTGAGCAGACAATTTTTATCTTTAGTACGGTCAAGGAGGGCATTCTAGACATTATGGATGAGTGTTTGAGCGCTTTTCGGTCTGAGATGGTGGCATTGATGGGAGCTCACACGTTGACCTTCCGGGAGTTCTGAGCATGTCAGGCTCCAAAGTACTTCGGGGAGAAGGAGTCGGTCTCAAGCAGACAATGTTTAACGGATGTCGCTAACGCCTTCTCACTAGCATCTATTCCCATGAGGAAAAGGTCAGACTTGCTTCCTGTCTTCTATAAGACAGAGTTTGAGATTGGTGGGATGAGGTTGGGTGCTTCGTGGGTGATTAAATGGTTTATTCGATGACATGGGATGAATTTGTGACTAGATTTTGAGTTATGTTTGCACCGGTGCTTGAGGTGCAACAGTTGGCGAGGGAGTTCTAGGACCTTCGTCAGACTACTGAGATGGTGGTTAAGATCACTGCTATATTCCACGACAAGGCGTTGTTGGTTCCGCACTATGTGGCGGATGAGGAGATGAATAAGGCGAGATACCATGAGACGTTGAGGAGTGATATTCAGTAGTTCATGATCCAATCTAGTTGCAAGACACTGGACAATATGATTACGAGAGCTGGAGAAAAGGAGATTGATCTAGAGATGGAGAGGAAGAGGAAGCCGGATCAGGCTCAGGTGGCAGGGGGTCGGGAAATAGGCCCACGGTATTTGATTCGAGATCGAGAGACCAGAAGGGTCGGAGCCGCTGTGCCAAGTGCGGTAAGACGCATAATGGGGCATGCGGGGTGGGTGGTTCCGGCTGCTTTAACGGTCGTCGAACGGGTCATATTAGCTGGGATTGCACTACTAATACCACCACCACCACCCCAGTATTTGATCTGATTTGCTTCATTTGCAATCAGAGAGGCCACAAGAAGACCCATTGTCCAAGTTTGGCAGCAGTAGGGTAGCACCCGCTCCAGCAACTCTACAGATTATTGATGGCCACCAGGGAAAGGCAAATATGCCTATGGTGAGGAGCAGGGCTTTTCAATTAACCGTTGAGGAGGCTCGCACAACACCCGAGTGGCTTAACCAAATAAGTGCTTAATGAATTGGATTGGTGATTTAGGGAGTACCCAACTCATACGTTGAGCGTACTGACCCCGAATGGAGTACGCCAATTGTAAGTCTGAGTATGACCAGCATACTCAACTGTTTGACTTTTGTGTTGACTTCCTCGGATTCAGGTCATATTTTGTGCTATTATGGTTTAGGCCTTGTTGGGCCAGTGGATTTCTGACTTTGGGTCATAGATAGAATATGGACTTGCTTGGGATTAGGTCCATGATGATTTTTGGGCCTATTTGGAAGTTGGGCCTTATTAGGTATTGGGATGTCACTTAGGATTTTGGGCCTTTTGAGCAAATGGGTTGGGCCTTGGTTGTGGGCCAAGTAAGAAAAAAGGGTAAAATTGTCTTTTACCCTGGATGTTGGACAAGTAGCTTAGATTCTTGATGTTAGGTCGAGATCCAATTATTTATTGGATATTATTTGATGATGTTAGCACGGAGATTTTCCGGACCAGCAGACTGAGATTTATTAGAGAGATTCAGCAGCTAGATGTGAGTTTCCTCACTATGTTTAGCTGGTCGAAGACACCAATGTCGGCCCATGGTTTATTATGATCAGGATGCTAGGTGTCTGTGTGACTCTTTCATGTATGATATTGATATGTATATCGGGCGGGGCCCGATGAATATCCTGTAGACTATTTATCTTTGTGATTATTGCATGTGTTTATATGATTATATGTTTATATGTTTATATGTATATTGGGCGGGGCCTGATGATTGACAAATTTGTTCCAAGCGGGGTCGATGTCGGGTGGCGCCCGATGATGGGTGGGGCCTATTATATGTTTGATATGTATGCTATGTGGTATTTTGGGGGAACTTACTAAGCTTTGTGCCTACGATTTTCAGTTTATGTTTCAAGTACTTCTGGTTCCAAGGGGGAGAGCTCAGGATGACTACATTGCACATACCACATTGTTCTGCGTTTTCTATGACTAAGTTGTATTTGGATATTATTTGACACGCTCTGATTTTCACTATGGTTTTATGAAATTGATTGGGTTGATGGTTTATTCAATATAAAAATTAAAATTTTTGTCTTAATTTTTTAGACGTTACATATATTTTATAGATGTTGAATGCCGCAAATAAACGTAAATAAAAATAAAAGTATGGCGGGTTTTTAATTTATAAACATAAAATACGAAGAAAAAAAATATGGCATGGTTATAAAAAGGTTTAAAGATATTATATAATCCTTATAAATTTACATTTCATAAATAAAATATCATTAAGTTTTTTATAAAAATAATTATCTTGTAAATAACTTACAAATATTTAAACTAAAATACAACTAAGGGGTACAAAGACATGTGATTAAAAATATAAGGGTTTAAATAAACTAAACATGAAAGTATATTTACTATTCAATATATATAAGTATATATTAGATAGTCAATAAAAAAAATAAACTTATAGCTCCAATAATAATAAATCATAGATAATGTTAAAGCAAATAGTAATAAGTCTTAATAGAAAATATGTGAAAGTTGCATGCTACTTATGAAAGAGTAGTTAGTAGCAAATCATGATCTCCTATCGATACTGTACAGGAAACGATATCAAACCGTACCGATTTTAAAAATATGGAACGATATTCAGTACTCTTAAATCATGAAACTCGGGATTTAATATTGTTGGTATCAGTGCTAGTACCGAAAACTGATATCATTCCCGGTACCAGTACCGGTAATATTAATTTGCTTTGATACTCGAGATTTACTTTCGAGCAAATTCAGTTTTCAGGAAACTGGAACGGTGTCAGTTGATATCGGTTCTGTCACACACTCATCCCTAATGCTACTAGGCTATGACTTTATGAAATTGTGTGTGTTCCCTTCTAAATAATTTTTTAATGGGATTATGACCCAAATAGACATTTTTTGAGGGTATTTTCCAAAATACAGACATAAAACAGGCTATTTTCACATATAGACTTGCATCCGCAAAGCTACATTCGAGGGCTCTTCGGAATGAACTTTTGCTCCGAGAAATCGACGTGGCAAAAAAAATCACAAAAAAAGAGCTGAAGAACAATTCCGCGGAAGGATGCATGCTGAGGAACAGTTCCTCGGAGCCCTATAAGGAATAGATGTCGTTTCGTAGAACTCCATTTTTTTCTTTTTTTCTTTTTTGTGCTTTTTTTTCTTGTCACGTTGATTTATCGGACCATAAGTTCATTCTGTGGAACTCTTTGAGGTAGCTTTGCGGATTGCATGTCTGTATATGGAAATAGCCTATTTTATTACTATATTTTGGAAAATACCCCCAAAAATGTCTATTTAGGTCAAAATCTCATTTTGAGTAAATTATCGAATCGTCCCACATCTAGGTGCCAAAATGCACGTTCAGTCCTTGTTTTTAAAAATTAACTCGGATCGTCCCTGTATTATTACTTTTTCACTAGGACCGTCCCTGATGACATAAAATGACTATTTTTCCCTTAATATATATATTTTTTATTTTATTTTATTTATTTATCATTTTTTATTAAAAATAAATAAATAGATAAATCCCCACCACCAACCACACCACAACCCACCCCTCTCTTCTTCCCCTCCCCCTCCCCCTTCCCCTTTTGTTGTTACGTTCCCCAGAAACCATAACCATCATAATCATCAACAACACAACACTCATCGTTGCCTTCCATCTTTCACATTCAATCACCATTTCCAATAGCCATTAAATTAAGCGTAGAAATCTGCACCATCTCCAACAACGATTCAATCGAGGGCACCACCAAAAATGCCAGAATCAGTCAATCGATGGTGGTGGTTGGAAAAGTCATCTAGAAAATTCTGAAGATCATCCCATCAAACCCTAAATTGGTTGTATCTTTGTAGATCTACACTTCTTCGATCTGTACAATGAACATCGTCTCTCTAAACACTTCTGGGTAGTAGTGTCAGAGAAATGAATCACTTCGTCAATCTGTACGACCCACTGCCATCGCTGGTCGGAAAATTCATCTAGCACACTCATCTTCTCTCAATCTTCTTATCAGTTCTTGTTTTGGCTGTTAGAGAAACAAGATGTCGATTTTAAATCTGAACTAGCTCCTCTCTCTCTCTCTCTCTCTCTCTCTCTCTCTCTCTCTCTTTCCCCCTCTTATCACTTAAACTCTCATGTAGATCTTGTTTTCCAGTGGCTAATTTTGAGTGGATCTAGTTTTCGATGGTGTTTAATTTTCTTGGTGTTGAATCGAACTGCTTCACTTTGAAATCAATGTGTTTTGATTTGATTTTCTCAAATCAATCTGCGCTTTATGTGAAAACGATCAGGTGGTGGTGGAATTGAGGTAGACGGTCGCCGGAGGTGAGAGTCAGAGAAGAAGGGAATAAGCGCGTTTAAGAGGAGGTAGACACAGGAGGTGGATGGTCACAGGTGGTAGAGATGCAACGAAATGGATTAAAATCTTAGTGGGTGGCATATTCTTTTTTTTTAACTGTAAATAATAATAAAAATATTAAAATAAATTCATAAAGGCAATATAGTCATTCTATGTCTGCCAAAGGATGAAGCGTGTAAATTTAAACTAATGAGGGATGAAACGTGCAAGTTTAAAACAAACATGGGACGGTCCGAGTTTATTTTTTAAAATAGAGACTGAACGTGCATTTTGACACCTAGACGAGAGACGATTCGTGTAATTTACTCTCTCATTTTTATTGGTATTTCCAGACGAATTTCAAATATGTAAAGTATAAGGGGCTAAATTGAAATTTATCCAACATTCAGAAAATTCAACGTGACGTGGCCAGAAATGCGTCGCATGTAAGTATGCTCTCTCCCTGGTTCTCTCTCTCTCTCTCTGTATACACTGAGAGGGAGACATACACAGTCACACACACGCAAACATATGTACACATATGCAGAGAAAACCTTAGGGTTTATGTAATCTTGAGATTTAGTTAGAATGAGAACTTCAATGGCAGATTTGTGGGGGAAATGGCCAAGAAAAACAGCAGAATTTCTTATTTCTGTAATAAACCAATTAGTTTTCATAGTTTTTGATTTCTTGGATGTCGTAATGTGCATTTTCTTCAGTTATGTTGATAAAATTTTGGAGGGTAAGCCAACCGAATGTTACTGTCGAAGTCAAAATGGAATAAGTAACTGTGAAGAGAAAAACACTGGGATTTCGGATACTCTGTTTGGGAGGAAAAACGTTTTTAGGGAAATGGGGTTCTCTCGAATTACGCCTTCCAGATCGGGTCAGAGACAGAGTTCCCAAAGTAATGATATGGGTAAGACTAGGTGGTCTGATTGTGGTTGTGCATCCTGTGTTTCTTGGATGAAAAATGGAGATGATGCGAAGCTTCACGTTGTTGTTAAGAATCCATCAAAAGGTAAAGGTACTCCTCTTTCCTCTTTTCATTTATCTGTTTGATGAACCCTAGATATGTAAAGAATTATGTTATGTGTGTTGGCAGGAAACAATGATGATTCCGGTGAAAACGTGATATTTCTACATGGGTTTCTTTCGTCTTCTTTTCTTTGGACAGAAACGGTGTTTCCTGAGTTAAATAGTAGCAAATACAAACTGTTTGCTGTAGATCTTTTGGGATTTGGAAATAGCCCAAAGCCAAGGGAATGTCTCTACACTCTGAATGATCATACGGAAATGATCGAAAAGTCAGTCATCCATGAATTCAACTTGACTTCATTCCATTTGGTTGCACACTCCATGGGCTGCATAATTGCTTTAGCATTAGCAGCAAAGCATCCAAACAATCTCAAATCCATCACTCTAATTGCTCCAGTAAGTTAAGCTCCTTAATTAATTCTTGCTAAACATTTTTTAACTTGTTCTTACTAGAATCCATGAATTCTTTTTTCAGCCTTGCTTTTTGTCGAGTGGAGAAGAGGATGCTACTCAAATAGCATTAAAAAAACTGGCGTACAAACGTTTATGGCCACCATTATCGTTTGGCGCATCATTCATGACATGGTACGAGCATTTAGGCAGATGTGTGTGTTATTTCGTGTGTAGGCACCACACGACATGGGAAAAGATTTTGAAGCTTATCACTCGCCAAAGGTACACTAAAAATTTTCAATTATCATTCATGACATTAAATAAAAAGGTTTTTATATGATGATGTGATGTAATTTGCAGGAAGTTGAATTTTTTAGTGATAGACTTGACGAGGCACACGCACCATTCGGCTTGGCACACGATGCATAATGTGATATGTGGTGGAGCCAAGATGATGGACCCGTGCCTTGAAACCTTGAGAGCGGCTCGAGCCAGGGTGAGCGTGGTTCAGGGGTCAAGAGACCTGGTGGTGCCGGTGGAATGCAGCAATAATGTTAAAGTTAAGGTTCCTGATGCAGAGGTCAAGATCATAAATGGTGTTGGTCATACAGCTGTCATTATTGGAAGAGAAAAAGAGTTTGCTAAAGATTTGGAAATTATTTGGGATTCTGTCACTAATGCAAAGGGTTAGCATGTTGGAATATAGATTAGTGAATGAATGGTGTGTATCAATCATCAATAAATTTATGACGTTATTGTTTTATTTTATCTTATCTTCCATTATTTTATAGATTTAGTTCCATACCAAAAACGCACCAAGTTATTGGCTCATAAAAACGACAAAAAATGTGAAGCTGGACAAAGGTAGGGACGAATGATAAGACAATAATAGTTTGAAAGTAGGGACATGAAAGATAAGATATTTACAATGATAATTGATTAGTAAATCACATGGGTTTTCATATTTGATTTATGTAGTTGGATTGGATTCGATGTAATGAAATTAGAAAGGAGTGGAATTAACAAGATAACATAACTAGTCATTAGGTTTGAGGGAGTGGTGCGGTAGAGAGGGTGTGGTTTTGCCACATAAGCAGCAAACACCGCCCCCAGGGTGCGGTTTGGGTGCAGTTCAAACCGTAGTGTGGCAAAAAATGACCGCAGTTTGTGATTGTGTGGGGATAATTTGACTAGCTTGTGATTGGTTTGAGAGAAATTAAAATTTTTATTTAAATTAATTTTTTTTTAAAAATAAAGTGTGGCACCACTCCTTGGGTGTGGCAAAGAACCGCATTTTTGTGGTAAAAATGACGTAGCGCTTACGTGGTAACGAAGGGAGTACGGTTTCGGTGGCACCGTACCCTCTAGCCTTACATCAACATCAAATTTTACATATAAGTGTACACTTTGGTTCAAACCTCTGTTAAATATTAAAGAGATAATGATTTAAAAAGGTAATATATTCTTCGATTTGTATACATTTGGTCACTGAGTTTATTTTTTGTTTACATTTACCCTTTCAACTTGTTAAACTGTACACATTCAGTCCTTATGACCGGTTATTTCAAGTTAACCGGTAAAAATATCTCAATAGGGTAATATATTTCTCGTTGTGTACACATTTAATCCTTAATATTTTTGTACACATTTAGTCCTTAATTTTTTTTTTGTTGCAAAATAATTTATTTTGTTTTTGTACTCATTCAATACTTATGAATATTTTCTTTAAGTTTTTCTCACAACATCTTACATGGAACAATCATTAATAAGGTGTTTTAGACTTTTGATGTTTATGTCTATCGTGATCCCGACTTGATTGTTTAGGTCATGTGTTTTGAATGTCATAACTTTTTCATCTATCGCGGATTTTAACGACCTTTATATTTATGCATTTATATTTTAGTCTACTACAACTTTCGTTTAAATTATCCCGTTAAAAAGTAATATATATTTTAACTACGATCTTTATATTCATACGTTTTTTATGCATGCATGTATTGATGTTTTTCTTTTATAAAATCGTAAGTAAAAACATATTATATTTTAACGAGAGTAATCTTAACAAAAGTTATAGCAGATTTAAAATACGAACACATAAATATAAAAATCGTTAAAATCAGATATCGTATGAAGAAGTTACGATGTTCGAAATACAAAACATAAGTCAAACCACAAAAAATATGCAACCAAGCAGTCGAGGCCGCGATGGACATAAGTATTAACAACCCCAAACACCTCATCAATCAGGGACGGACGCAAGATTTGATAGTAGGTGTTGCCGGTAAGTAGAATAAAGAGAAAAAGATCGAAAAATATCAAAAAATTTACACCGCGTACAGAAAAAGCAGAGGTTGTCGGTACACTGCAAGCACCCAAAGAGAGCTGTACCTATCATCAATGATTGTCTCACGTTAGATGTCGTGAGAAAAACCCTAAATAAATCATTCATAAGTACTGAATTAGTACAAAAACAAAAAATGACTTATTTTGAAACAAAAAAAATATATATTAAGGACCAAATATGTACAAAAATATTAAGGACTAAATGTGTACAAAATGAGAAATATGTTACCCTAATAAGTCATTTTTTCCGGCTAACATAGAGTAACCGATCATAAGAACTGGATGTGTACAGTTTAACAAGTTGAAGGGGTAAATACGAACAAAAAAAACCCAATGACTAAATGTGTACAAATCGAAAAATATATTACCCTCTTAAATCATTATCCTAATATTAAAAGAAGAATTAAAGCAATTTTCAGGTAACAAAACATATAAGTGTCATGATCCATGAACTTCTTTTTTTTAATTATACCATTTAAAAATAAAGGTAAACCAGTCCCAAAAACGCAACTCAAGGCGGGTTTGCACTTCATTAGTGAAATGAAGATGATATCCTTTATATTATGATTAAAGTGAAATTGTTCCCAGATTCATCAATTTGAAGTCGCCCTATCATTTTTCTTTTTTCCACACCTTTGACTGATATGAATTAGCCTGATTGGGTAAAAACTGATAAAAAACATGGTTGTTATTAATTGGTCAATAAGATGATAAATCTCAAAGTTCACTCACCATTCAGATGAACAACAGACAAAAGAAAGAGATGAAAGGGCTAAAAAAGAAACAAGTGCCAAGTTTATATTATGATATGCAATAATCATCATATCTATGGATAAGCAGCAACACCTAAACATAAACCTAAACCTGGAAGAACATTGAAATCAGTTTTAGTTTTTGGCCCTGGTGGTGTTGTTTTCTTTGATTCTTGATCTGTTATCAAGCTTCACAAACCTTTTGAGGTCTTCATATGGAAGAGTTTCAATATTCTTCCTTCTAAGCTCACTCAGTGCAGGTTTTTTATCCAGAAGATGCCACAGCCACTCTGGATACTCAGAATCTGCAAGTATTTTAGGGTCAGTCCCCTCCTTGAGGATATTTGCCCCTACAACTGTTGTAGATTTCACTTCTTTGCTTAAACTCGACTGCTTTGGAGCATCAGAAGCCCCTCCACCTTTACCCTTTTTCGCCTTACCTCCAACAGCAAATGTTCTACAGCTTCCTAATCCACTGTTAGTGACACCAACATTTCTCAACGACTTTATGCAATTCATTGCCATGCTCGTTTCCTGCAACGATACTTATCATATCAAAATCATACAATTATATCATATAGATTAGACACTATTATATCACGCGTTTCATTAATCTTAGTGCGGCCAAGCCAAAAATGCAACAATTAATAATTTAAGAATTGGAATTTCATACCTAAAAACAAGGATGTTACATGAATTAACCCTACAAATCGATTTCATAGTAATACACACATATGATGAGTTTCATACAAATCGATGTCAATACTTTCACAAACAAAGTAAAAAAATTGATTTCACACAAAGCCTGAAAAAATCGAGGAGCAAGAACAGAGATAGAACACCAGTTTCACACAGATCGAGCAGGACATGCTTTGGGGCTGGAAAAAGTCGACCAAAAAGATTGGCATGAAAAAAACGACCAAAAAGAAAAGCTTACCGACGAAGGGAGAGGAAGCGAAGACGGAGGCGGAGCGGCGCTGCCGGATGCGGTAGAGAGAAGGTGTAGTCGCCTGAGAAGAGAAGAGGGATAATGGGGGAGGACAGTTTTCGATGTGTAGGAAGAGGAAGAAAAAAGTGGCGACGTGTTTTTTTTTAGGGAAAGGGCGGTAGACAAAAAAAAATCGTTCAGACTCCTTTCATGTCTTATGGATTCAGTCACACTAATTAAGAGCGTAAAAATGTTCTTGGACATCCAGAATCAACCTCTTAATAGGATCATTAGGAGGTGAAACAAATAGCTCCTTAATAGACTATATATTTTTTATTTTGTATACACTTAGTTCTTAATATTGTTTTTGTTGTAAAATTAGCTTTGTTGTTTTTATAAACATTTAATACGTATAGTTTCTTTAAGTTTTTTTCACAACATCCTACGTGAGACAATCATTAATAAGGTATTTTGGAATGTTGATGTTTATGGCCATCGTGGCCTGGACTGCTTAGGTTTTATGATTTGGCTTAGGTCTTGTGTTCTAAACATCGTAACTTCTTCATATGATCTCAAAATTTAATGACTTTTATATCCATACGTTCGTAATTAAGTTTAATACAATTTTCGTTTAGATTACTCTCGTAAAAAAACAATATATTTTTACTTACAATTTTATTAAAAAAAATGTTCATACATACATTTATAAAGAATACATGGCTATATGTAACATCCCAAAATTTATAACCAAAAATTTCATTTTTAAGTTCATCAAATCATAAAATAAACCATATTAAATTTCTCAAAACCATGTAAACATAAAATAGTTTAGTTGTGTTATCCAACGATACATATAAATCATCATCAAAGTCATAATCCCAAAATCACTAATGCGTAAAATCATGGTGTGATGCGATGCGATCAAGCCGGTCATTTCCCCTTCGAGCTAGAAGTACCTGAAACCAAAACTAAAAATCGTAAGCAAGAAGCTTAGTGAATATCCCCCACCATACCACATACAAATAATAAACATGTTGTAAAACATATATGGGTGGCCGACCCACCATGCTGAATATACATGGGTGCTCAACTTACCCATGTCAGACATATCGGGGTGTCCGACCTACCCCTGTCAAACATACATGGGTGACCGACCTACCCATTGGTTTTATTCTAACCGATTACGGGGTCTATTTCACCCCTACCACTACCACATAAATCATGTATATCACACATAAGCACCAATAATACATACCGCCTTAATAATTATCACGAAGACAATTATTAGGCCATACCAATACTAGTGGGTTGGCATTAGTGCCTTCAACCCACAGTTCTACAAAGGGAGACCCACCTCACTATGTATGCTGAAATCGTACTCCTTGGCTAGCTCGTAACAACTCTCCCTAAAGCATAATAAATTCCCTAGTCAGTTATTGGGTCCAAATAGGACTCCCTTATGGCCCAATTCATGTCCCACGACAAGGTTTCCTAATCCTTGGCCTATTAGACCTCTTTCTCCCAAGGCCCCACTCCTAATTAAATTAAGGCCCAAGTCCATTCATTTAAGTTTCAAGGCCCATTAAGGCCCAATACCATATATCCTAGGTCTAGGCCCAGAAGCCTTAATCCACAGTGGGTCATGAGGCCTAACTATTTTCAAGCCTAACATCCTAAGGCCCAAATACCATTTGAACACTCTTCATGTGTACGTACAGTGTACCTGGCAAATACGCCCAACGTACGCTGGTCTTGACCACTTCGGGGAGATTGACCCAATACGCGCAGCGTACCAGGGGTACGCCCGACGTACTGGCTAGTTTCCTTATAAATCCTTTGTGACTTAATCCATTAAGTTCTAACGTCCAAAACATAGATCCAGATCCTTTAAGACGTCCTATACCATAAAGTTACAAACTTTATGCCTTTGCATGCATGGATGGGGGTTAAGACATGATTTAAGTCCTTAAACACATTTTTTGACCATCTAACTCTTGCATGGTTGTGGCTTAACCATCAAGTTCCGATTTTTATGGCTATAAATGCTTCCAAGAGCTCAAAAGGACAACTCTTATGGGCTGGAACTACCAAACCACAAGAAATCTCAACTATGTAGTCAAAATGTCACATAAAACACCCCAAAACTACAACTAAGCATGCAATGGTCAAGTTTTAAGCTTGATACCTCAAATAAGTCAGAAAATATGCTAAAATCCTAGATCTACAATCCCCTCTCATGTTCTTGCTCCTCCTTCTAACTTCCTATTCTTCAAAACCACCAAAAATCACCCAAAAGTGCACCAAATTAGCTCACAAAGCATGCAAAGAGGTTTAGGGTTCGATTTCTATTCTTTAGGGACAATGGAGGCTGAAGGAATGAGGTTTGGGACGGAGCTAATGTCTTTATATATGGTACAAACCCTAAAATTTAGGGTTTGCAGCTGGACAGGTTATGCCCAGCGTACGCTTGGGTACGTCTAGCATACGCAAGGCTTCCCCCCCCCCCCCCCGCCCCACTTCGCGCCCCAATCGTGTACGTCGTGCGTAAAGTACGTACGCTAGCATACAACCTTTCTCACAATTGCAATATATAAAACGCCTAATTAAATCGAAGGAAAACCTGGCGACTCGGATGTTACAAATCTCCCCCTCTTGAATTAGACTTCGTCCTCGAAGTTTGTTGTTGTTGTTGGGAATAGCTCGGGGTAATGCTCCCTCATCTCGTCCTCTAGCTCCCATGTCCATTCTGAGCCCTTATGGTGTTGCCACTACACCTTTACCAGTTCTATTTACCTGTTTCTCATAGTCGTCGTCTTATTTTTTAGAATGGCTACATATCTCTCGATGTAGTTCAAGCAATCATCCACCTGTATGTTCTCTAGAGGAAACACCACAGAATCATCGGCTATGCACTTTCGCATCTGCGAAACATGAAAAGTGTTGTGGACCTGTCTATGCTCTTTTGGAACCAACCGATATGCTACCTTGCCCACCCGAGCTATAACCCTAAAAGGTCTGATATACATGGGGTCCAACTTGCCTCGTTTTCTAAAGAGGATGACACCTTTTCAAGGTGACACCTTTAGAAAAACCATATCCCCGACCTGAAACTCCAAGTCCGATCGAAGTCGGTTGGCATAGCTCTTCTGTCGAATCTAAGTCATCCGGAGTCTAATCCGGACCTGTTGGATCTTCTCCATCATCTTGGGTACCACTTCGGTACTCCCCATGACCCTCTGACCAACCTCACCCCAACATATTAGGGTCTTTCACTTCCACTCGTAAAGCATCTCGAAAGGAGGTCGGTCGATACTAGCGTGGTAGTTATTATTATAGGAAAACTCTGCCAAGGGAAGGTAGGTATCCCAGCTACCACCGAAGTCTAGAACGCATGCCTACAACATATCCTCCAAGGTTTGGATGGTCCGATCGCTTTGACCATCCGTCTGCATGTGGAAAGTCGTGCTGAAATGCAGACGAGTACCCAACTTATCATGAAATTTCTTTCAGCATCTGGAAGTGAACCGCACATCCCTGTCAGAAATCATAGAAACCAGCACCCCATGTCGAGCTACCACCTCCCTGATGTAGATGCCTGTCAGCTTCTCGGCCAAAATACTCTCCTGAATTGGTATGAAATGGGCACTATTGGTCAATCGATCAACGATGACCCATATCGCATCAACTCCGCGCGTCGTCCGAGGTAACTTTATAATGAAGTCCATGGTAACCTTCAGTCTATCTAGACCGCTCGCTAGGCCTTCGGCCTAACTAGATTTACCCGGTTCGGGCCTGCAGTCTACCCGGTCCGCCCAGGGTGTCTTGGCCTACTACACACATCAGAACCTGCCTCAACCCTTTTCCACAAAATCAATTGTCCGGAATCAATTTTTCATTTGGATGTATTTTAGGTTAGGTATGCTTCAAGTTTGCTTGCGGATTTTTGGAAATCGATTTCTCACTTCAGTGTTTTTTTTCTTATTTGATTTTCTGAAATATAATTAGGTTGGGTTTGCATCAGATATGCTTGAGGATTTTTTTGAAAGGTTGCATCAAGTTTATCTAAGGTTTGATTAGGTTCACTTTCGGATTCCTTCAAGTTTGTTTTAGGTTTACATTCAGTTTTCTTCATTTGCTTCATTCAATATTTTTTTGGATTTTTTTTTCTAAAAAGATAGCATCAAGTTTGATTTTCGTGGATACTAGAGAGGTGGTTTCCGGAGGTGGTGACCGGTAGAGGAGAGAGATACAGCAGCAGAGTAACTTTCTGGTGGTGGCTATCAAGATTACATATGCACTTTGAACAAGTTATTTTGAGTGTGGTTGTACATCAGCTTAAAGGGTTGTACATTCGTCAATTATATAATAATAAGTAAATTAATTAATATTAACAATTAGAAAAATACATAAAATATATACTAAGGATAGTATGGTCATTTTAAGTCAGTCGGGGACCAAAAACAAAACGATAACAAAATACAAGGATTGTCCAAGTGCAAAAAAAAATGTTAGGGACTAAATGCGTAATTTTACCCAAACAATAAGGACGATTTCAATAATTTACTCTTATTTATAATATAAACTATTATCAAAAGCATATACATTTCAAAGATGAAATTGAGCTGGATTAGGCTTGGGAAAATGCCAAAATCAACGTGTAACACCCCGACTATCAAGTATGAACTTTACAACTTTATTTTTCATATTTGAAAGGTCTACTCGACGAGTTAGATGCCCTGACTCGTCGAGTAGGAACATTTTTGGCCACGTGCTTAAGTGACTAACACGACGAGTCGGAGGACACGACTCGACAAGTTATAGATGGAGGATGAAACCCTAATTTTTGGGGATTTGCACCCTATTTGAAGGATCATTTGCCCCTTACTTACATCCCCTTGTGAGTCCAGAAACCCAAAATTACCGTTTTTCTCTCCTTTTGTGTGATATTAAGCCTTGAGGTGGACTGTGGAAGCAAGGTCTTGAAGTACTCAAGCTTGGAACAAGAGGAATGTTGTAGATTCGAGCCCTACTTCATCTTAGCATCGTTTTTGAGGTAACAAGTTGTTACCTTGACCTTTTTCTATCTAGATCTATTCATGTATGATTAGGTCCATTTTAGAAATGTTTTTATGTTATTTCGGGTATTGGGTGTGATGTGAAGTTGCAACTTCAGATCTAGGCTTATCTCGATCTCTAAGGTCATAAAGTTTCAGCCTTTAGTGATTTAATACCTTCTTCCTCCCTTAGAACCTCTTATATATCTTGGTTTTGACTATTTGAGCCTTGC